GCTCACCACACAGTTTCGAAACGCCTCTGGAAGCAACCTCTGCACAAGAACTGTGTGTTGGAAGCCTTGTGAAATTACTATGCACAATAGATCACTATGTTCAATGCCAAACATCGGCCGGATTGGTGTGAAACACACCGACACTGGACTCTGGAGCAGTGGAAACTGTTCAGTGTTCTCTGAAGTGAGGAATCACACTTCACTATCTGGCCGTCTGATGGAGAAATCTGAGCCTGAATGCACAGTCAGAACACTGCCAGCCTGAATGCACAGTGACAAATGGGTCTGGGGCTGTTTTTCAGGGTTTGGGCCCCTTAGTTCCAGTGAGGGGTGACGTTAATGCTACAGCACACAAAGACATTGTAGACAATTATATGCTTCCAACTTTGTGACAGCAGTTTGGGGAAGACCCATTCTTGTTCCAGCATGACTGTGTCCCTGCGTACAAAGCGAGCTACATAAAGACATGAGTTTGGTGTTGAGGAACTCCAGTGGCCCGCACAGAGCCCTGACCTCAACCCCTCTAAACACCTTTGGGATGAACTGGAACGTCAGAGGCCCTCTCGTCCAACACGAGTGTCTGATCTCACAAATGCTCTTTTGACTGAATGGGCACAAATTCCAACAGACTGACTCCAAAATGTTGTGGAAGGCCTTACAAGAAGAGTGGAGGCTGTTATAGCCACAGATAATGCCCATGGTTCTGGAATGGGATGTCCAACAAGCTCATATAGGTGTGTTGTGTGGTGTCTACATACTTTTGGCCATATTATGTCTCTAAGGTCCTCTAGGAGCTGGTTCCAGCAGCAAACAACATAATAGCCAAAAGCTGTTTGGGTACCACACGCTGACCAGTTCATGAGTCAAACCAGCTGTATATTCTTCGAACATATCAGAATATGTTTTACTGCAAAACCATTTATAACTATTTACAAATGAGCAGCAATACTTTTTAAAATGAATCATCTGATTAACTGGAAGCCTGTTTAATGATATGCTGGGTTAACATGTTCTGTTTTCCTAGTCCAAGTTTCTAGCAGCAGCATGATTCATAGTCTTTTTTGGGAGGCCAGTTAGAAGACCATTGCAGAGATCCAGTCTACCAGAAATAAGGGCATGGATGAGTTTCTCTAGGTCTGATAGCCCTTAGTTCTTGTTTGAATTTTTACATGGAAAAAAAACAGACTAACACCACTGAAGCCTAGAAAACTGAGAGAACAGCTTGTCCTGTATCTGAGCAGATGAACCGAGAGTGTCTTCATAAACTCAGCCTTGTTCAGATCTGACTGGAACTACATTAAAGATGAATACAAAGTGATTCAGAGTGGTTTGGTGCAAAGTGCTTCACTGTAGAGAAACTTACAGACTCAGGTTTCTTTACAGTGGTGGTGATAGGAACCAGGGGTCACAATGTCTACAGCACAAATATAACCACTTTATTTACTGTGAAGATGTTTTAGAGGCAGTCACTACACGCTAATGCAAGATTCGGGGAATTTGCTCTTTTAAGTGATATGATGTGATGAATCATGCTTAATGTAACAAGGGGCACGAACTAACAAGGTAAAAAAGTTTTGATTTCTACTTGACTTTAAAGATAAATTCAGTCATTGTAGAACCAAAAAAAGATGGACTAGTAGATAAGTGATGGTCTGTATGTTTTTACTCAGAGGTCAAAATTCAGTTGTTATGGTTAAAACAAATGTTCTTTAATCATCCTTGTGTTTGATTTGATACTGTCTTTTCTAAATTAGGTGATGGATGGTTTGGATACTGATAAAACCTGAGAAAAAAAATTATCATTTAAGCAGAATAACTGACTAAGTATATATAAATTATTCATGTTCATATTTGCTTTCTTTCCTTATTATTATTATTACTATTAATACAATCAATTATTTATACTAGATATGAACCAAAAACCCAATATTGCAGTGGGGCTAGGAACTGCCCTTTGCCTGTGTGTCTGGTGTGTGAGCTGATACAGAGTGAGAGAAGAAGAGATGTGAACTGAGTCAGAGTGCATCTGTCCCCTCTTGTGTTCTGGGAGCTGAATCAGTTCTAAATGAAGCTACGTTATGGGCACAAACTTAGTCTTCTGAAAACCCCCCATGCTACAGTGGCGTCAGAACTGGCAGAAGAAGCGATGACGAGAGGTCAATCCCAGCAGCGGCGCAAGGATCTGGTAGGGCACCAGGTAGGGAGCACCAAGAGGGTCCTGGAGCGGTGGAGGAACACAAGGACACAAGGCTTGCGGAGGATGAGAAGACATTGCAAAGAACAGGGCTCAGGGTCACGGGGGAAAGTAAACCGTCCCGAAAACGGCAAAAGAAAGCACCAAGCTGCAGCGAAGCATTTTGTGACTGGGGGCCGGCCTACGCCCCCTGACCCTCGGGAAGAGTGGAGGGCTGCGGCCCCTTCCCCACACGCAGGCTAGCTGAGGAAATGCATCAGTTGATTGGGCAGTAAGGCTTTGAACCTATGTCCTCCATGGTGTCCTTGCCTGATGCTGCTACCAGCTGCCAATGTGAACCCCTCAGCGAACAAGGCAACCACAAAACCAATGTATTGGCCTAAGGTAAGATGTTATGATAGTACAAGGAATTGGTCAGCCTACCTGCAGCAATTTGTGGCAGCAGCAGAGTGGGGGGACCAAGCGAAGGTGGCACAGTTAGCTTCAGCACTGGAAGGTCCAGCCCTGCAGGTACTGTTAGAGTTTCCTGCTGACGTTATAGTATATAGGTACAACCTCAAAGCCAGCCTGGGTTTGGTGAGCGAGTGTGGCCCATGCACATTAGGGAGAAGTATCATCGGCGACAGCGCCAGCATGGAACAAAGCTGGGTCCTCTCATTGCAGCTCCGTGATAGCTTGGCTTTGGATGCATTCCTACTGGTGGTGAGGCTATTAAGGCTCCAGTAACAGTTATGGCTTGCAAAGCCAACTTGCCTGGGAAGGCTTTACAATGGGCAGAAGAAATGGAGGCAATTTTGGGAGAGTATGCAGGCTGCAGCCAGAGTCATACCGCAGTGGAGGCAGACTGCAGTGATAGGGAGTGTGAGGAAGAAGTGGAAGAGAGGGCAGAACACATGCTTGGTGTGGAGTTGTTGTGGTGAGCAACACAAGGCTGCACAGTGGGGGAGCTCGAGGAGGAGACAAAATGTCGAGTGGCCCCTGAGTAAATGGTGGCAGGGCAACTAGTGTGCTGAAATTGCAGGAAGGGGGGACACTACTCCAGTCAATGCTGCAAACCTAAGCTGGTGGGGAAATGGAAGCCAGCCAGGAAATTTGGCTGCTGCTATGGACTTTCGGTGCACCATGGATGGGAAGCAACTCACTGCCCTCACTGTCTTGGAGCTTGGAGACAGTACAAGTGAAGCTGGTTGTGGTGGCTAGCAGCAGAGCCAAAGCAGAGAGTCGGGACTCAGTGGTAGTGTGGCCTTTGTTTTCTATGGGGAAAGTTGCTAGTTCTGGAAGAGGTGAACATGCAGCATCAGAAACAGTTGGTGGATCCCTGGGGACGGGTATGCTCTCAGGTTGAGGGCACCATGGCTTCTCATGAGTCAAGCCACTAATTTTGGAGGGGCTGAACACGCAGTGCCAGCACCAGTAGATGGATCTACCACTCTTGCCAGCATCAACAATGCAGTGGACGACGGAGAAAGCAAAACTATGATGGGTCAAGGGTCAGGAGTTTCAGCCAGCGGAGAGAGTCAAATTGTTTAATCCGTGCTGCCAGTAAGGCCACGCTCCCAAATGGGACCATGAATGGGACTTTGCCTCATGGTGGAAAGGCAGCCAGATGTGGTGCAGATGTGGTGCCGGGTGCACATCAGAACCTGGTGCCATATGGTATTGCATCGGGACTGTTTGGCTCCGTATTTGGAGAACTGGGAGGGGCGCTTTAGTCCTTAGGGCCCTCCAGAATGATGCCCCAAGACCCAACCAGTGCTCCTCAGCCACACAGAGAACCCCTCTAGGCTCTCTGGCATCGCCGTAAAATGGCCGATGCTCCCTAGCAGCTTCGGAATCCCCTCAACTCTCAACAACATCAGCGGAGAGCCCAGAAGCCATGCCCATGAGAACGCCAGGAACCCCTTCGGCCCAGGAGCCCTCAAGGAGGCAACAAACTCCTAGATATATCAAAAACTTAGGCCCAATCCCATTTCACCCCTTGCCCCTATCACTTAGCCTTTAGCCCCCTGTTTTGCGCGTTCACGTCTAGGGTAAGGGTGTCCCAAATTTTTGTTGAAATAGAGGGGTAGGGCGAGGTGTTGGGGCTGCATGGCCCTCCAAACTGAGGTTTTTCAGAGACTCCAAATGGAGTGTTATGAGAAAAAAAGAAAAACCTGCATAAATTGCTAATACTATGCTAATGTCTCGGTAGCTAGCTAACTTTCCCGTTCCACCTTAAATAGTCCAGCAGTTCTGACGCCTGAAGCACCAGAAAGTAACTGCTGCTCCATTTAAGGTGGAACGGGAAAATTCTAACAAGGAGCTGGTGAATATCTGACTTCAGCTTCGTATCACCAAAAAATTAGCGGTGGGTGACAATAAATAATTGCCCCCCTCTCTGAAGGCATTTGATGCCCTAAATGTAACCAAAACCCAGCAGTGAGGAGCTGAACTTTTCCCTTCTCTGCTATCACTGAAGACGGGCCAGGTCGCCTACAGCGCAGCGCTAGCAGCTGTTAATGAAGTAATGTTTTTTTTTTTTTAAGGGGCCCATTTCGTAGGCAAGATTTCAACTACTACCCCTTGGAACTGAGTTACCCTAACTGAGTTAGGGTCCTCCAACGCTACAATATTAATAATATTAGTAATGTAATAATTAATTATGATAAATGATTGAGAAAATAAATTAATTTTTTTTTTTATTTACAAAATATACTAAACTGCATCATTTGAAAGACGCGCTATCAACTGAGCCTGCGCGGACCAAGCTCGGCCCACCCACTGCAGTGTCGAATTTCATTGGTCGCGGCTGCTATGTGGGCGTGGTCACACGGGGCGAGGCCCAACCCCTTCTCCGACAAAACACAGCTAACGGCTAGCTGAGTTAGCGCGGCTTTTAGCACTCTTTCTCTTCATAACAGGGGATTTCAAGGTCCGGAAAACTGTGAGAAGGTAATCTTTTTAACCGAATAACCCATTTAAAGTGCGAATTTGTGCGTTTCTGGAGATGTAAATGTGAATGCCCAGCTGGGTCAGCCGTTACCGCTGCAGTCGTTGCTCGGCGAGGGGGACTCATTGACTTTTTCGCGTTTTCTGGCTGATATAATTGTTTTTCATGTGTTTTATTGACATATATTAAGAGCTAAGACGTATATGAGTGTCTATTAATGGCGAATAGATGTGTAATTCAGACGAAGCTGAGGTCAGCTTCTCATTCGCCAGCTTCTTGTTTCGAATTTTTCCGTTCCACCTTAAATAGTGCCGCGGTTACTATTTAAACGCCTGAGTCGCCAGAATGGAACTCCTGCAGAATTTAAGGTGGAACGGGAAAATTCGAACAAGAAGCGGCGAATAGGAAAGCAGCTCCAGCCTCGTGTAATTGAGAGGGTTTTGTCCACACGCAGGCAGCATGTGAGTGAAGGAGAAGCCTATCTGTGCCAGTCTGAATGGGAATATAACGTTACATGCCTGCTATCTGTGCAGCTGCTGGTGCCAGTTGTATTCACTGTTCTGGTATGGACAGTCTTTCTTGAGTAAAATGAGTGTCCATGAGCTGGACAGGCCGGCTAGGTAGCTCCTCTTCGTCTTTCAGGCTTTGTTTCGTGGCCACACTTGGCACTAAATGTCCAGAAAAGAGGGAATCTTTCCAGTTTTAGTGGTCTGGTTGGCTAGTAGACCCCCTTCACCTTGGTGACCAGAGGATTCAGCAGGATATGGTCAGTAAAACAGTGGCTCAGCATGTCTGTAGCCCTTGCCTGGGGTTTGTTCTGCAGTGTTATGCATATGTAGTGATTTACATGGGGCTGCTGCTCTGCATAATACAGTACAGGCCAAGGTTTCTCCAGTCCTGCTGGTGTATTTACCCCTGCAGTGCTGTATTAGTAGTGCCTTCCTTCTGATTTAAGTCATAAAATCATTCCCAGGTCCATGAGGTTAAAGCAAATATTGTATAATCAACATAGAAAAGCATATCCATTATAATGGGACACTCTGGAGCATCCACACATGAGCCTTAGGTCCCTATGTTCAGTGCCAAGTGTGGATTAGAGGGGTATAAAGCCCCCAGCATTGGGCTGAGGAGCAGTGGAACTGTGTTCTCTTGACTGATTGAGCTCCATTCAATACCTTTGGGATGAGGTGATCCAAAACTGACCATCCAACATCAGTACCTGACCCCACTAATGCTCAATCAAATCCTCACAGCAATGGTCCAACATCTAACCATCCTGGAAAACTCTTAAAGTTCTTCAATGGTTCTTTAGTGGAGAAAAGGGTTCTATAAAGAACCATGAACACTTAATTTACCCTCTGGATGATTGACAGCTTCTTTAGAATGTCTTGTAGATGGTTCTATATAGAACCTTTTTGAAAAGGGTTCTATATAGCACCCAAAAGGGTTGACGATGTCAAGCTTGTAGCAGTAGAAGAACCCTTTTCAAAAAGGTTCTATAAAGAACCCTCTGCAGCACATTCTCCAACAATCTGACCCTTCTGTGATGCAGAGAAGCATTTAATCATACAAAGGATTCCTTCAGATTGTTGGAGAATGCGCTTTATATGGTTCTATACAGAACCTTTTTAAAAAGGGTTCTTCTTTTGGTACGATGTCAAGCTTGTAACAATAGAAGAACCCTTTTCAAAAAAGGTTCTATGTAGAACCCTCCTCAGCACATTCTCCAACAATCTGAAGTGGCCTCTTGTGAACCATTTAAAATCCATACAAAGGATTCTTTGAGTGTTCATGGTTTGTGTTAGAACCTTTTTCTTTACTAAAGAACCCTTGAAGAGCCATCTTTTTTAAGATTGATGGAGAACATATCTGCAAACAATTTCAGAGTTCCTCTGCGGACAGAAGCAGTGCCAGTGCACTGATATTCATGGACGTTCTTTCAGTGTAATATATAATGTGGCTTGGCTTCAGCTCAAGATACGTTTACACTGTAAAAGGACTGATTTGCTAACTTTCGATTTAGCCGTCACAGAGCCTGGCGTATCAGATGACCTCGTCCACATCATAGATATTAGTGGAGAAAGTGCTGTTCAGAAAGTCTGGGATACTGTAAATTATAGGAATTCACCAACATGGAAAATCTGTGCTGACATAAACGGCCTGTTTTGCCAATTTGGGTATTTAAAATCTATTTTAAAATAAACATGATTCACCGCATCAGCTCTTTCCCAAGGCCTTTGTGAGGTTAAAATGAGCGTGTTTGAGCAGGGAGTAGTTCTAAAGTATACAGTGCTGGGGGACTGTGCAGGAAATCACTGTTGTGCATTACCATTTGGCCTGGGTGTTACTTCTCAGTCAGGGTGGTAGTGTCAGCCTCGAGCTATCGGCTCGCAGAGGACTGGCCGTCTGGTATTTATTTTATGCCAAGGTGGTTATATTCTTATTGACAGCCTCCACATCTGTTTATACTTCTGTGCACTGTTTTGATATATTAGTTGAATGTGAAACTTTTGGAAACAAATAGTGAGGCTTTCTAAGCAAGACGTAGTCACTGGATTACAAAAAGTTCACAGCATCACAGCAAGCATTCAGTAGCTGGGTAATGAGACTCTGATACAACACTAGCCTCGTCACCTTATTGCCTTTTGTGTGGATATTTAAGGGTAATTAACCACCTCATTCTAGTGCTGGAATATTTAAGTTTAATTTACCAAACACAAACCTGAAAACTAATTTGAACTGTTTGACTGCAGCGCCCAGTTTTAATACAGTACTTTTTTAGTCTTTGATCCAAAAGGGTTACTCTTTATTATTACTTATGTTCATGAAAAATTCCTGCTGTGTTCACTCCAATCTCACTTCATGAGATTTTACTGAAAAATGATCAAATTTAGATGAATGCAACATCAATTTTTACATGGAAATATGTCGTACCCCAAAAAAAGGAGCCATTTTAGACCAAAAACTAAAGTACAATAAGAAAGTAGTCCTCACACCTAAACCACAAACAGATGAAATTAAATAAATGGATTTAGAACAAGTCAGATTACTTGTGGATATAAATGACAGCTTTGCAAGAAATTATTGTCTGAACTTGTTTTCTGAATATTTTTTTTTTCCTTGATTAATATTAATGTTACAAATAAGAAACAAAAGGCTGTTCAAAATTTCAACTATTGGTTGGATAGGCAGTGCCACAAAGTGGGCTGAGACCAAATTTGAGCTATTTTTGGCAAAGAGAAAAAAATTCTGTAGCCAATTTTCTTACGTTTTTAACTCTTTGTTCATAAAAGGGTAAAAAGGTTTAGTGAAAAAGGGAAAGGTTTAAGTATGAACTCAAGCTCTAGTTGAAATCCAGGTATCTACAGTAGTGTACCTGTGCAAGACCTTGCACAATCCTGTGAAACTACAGGAGGTGTCTTGTGTGAACGGAAGCCGATACGTTGCCAGGTAAGTTGTATCAGCTTCTGTTTGATTTTTATAGTCAAACTTTCAATATTCATTAGTGTGAAAAGTAACAGGAGCGCTTAGTGGAAAGAAACTGCCGTGTGTACTTTGTTTATGCATGACTCTGCTTAGGTCTTCACACCCCCAGCGCAGTATATTCATATGATTTATTCAGGCGTCAATCAATGAAAGCGAAAATGCTGCGTTATTTGCCCTCTGCTTTATTTTTGTGAATATTCGCAGGCGACATGAACTCGACCAATCAGTATACATGCACTTAATAATCCGTTAACTGTAAAAAATCTGATTTAGTCAGTAATCTGATCAATGTGCGTGCATGCACTTGAGTAACCAGATAATGAGGAAACTCTGGGTCTACATGAGTCAGACAGTAATCAGATTTCTGCTTTGCAACTGGTTTCATGCCGAAGTGTTTTTGTTGTAGCACAGTTCAGAAAATCGCTCTCCTCTCATTTGCGTAGGTAGCATTTCTTTTCAGGAGTGGCCTGATTACAGGCTGGGGAGGTCAGCTAGAAAGCATTACGGCCCAGAGACCTTGAGAGAGGATGACTGCTACCAGCTAGCCTACTTTATTATAGCTAAATTGTTATAAAGTCTCTCCCCTATGCATCACACTAAAACAGCAGTTTGTGATTGGTCGTTCTGTCAGTCAAATGGCCCTTTCCTGTAAATGTAGGTCATTTTTTTTTTTATCACATTTATTTATGTGTCTAAACTCCTCCAGACCTCTGACCAAAGGCGTAATTCTGGTTTGCGAGACTGTGCAAGGTTTAAAAGCATGCTTCATTTTTTCAGATAGGTCAGATTGTCAGAATTGCATCTTTTTTCCCCAAAAAATTTCCACACAATTCAGTCTTTGAGATGTGAACAAATTATTCTAGAGCGGTTTGATGTTCAGTGGTTCATTGTAGAGGAACTTTCAGACTCGGATTTCTTTAGGAACCAGGAGTCACCATGTCAACACAAATATAGCCATTTTATTTACTATCCAAAACCACCAGTGAACCTACATGTGTCTTCTGAGTTTTTAGATGTAATGTTGATGATGAAATGGTGAAATCTGAGTATTTTTTTGTTGTTGTTGTTGTTGTTGTTGTTGTTTTTGACGCCTGTTTTACCTGAAAACAGCCGTCATGTTCGATTCTGGCTAACTAAAGACACGTTTAGATGATGATTATTAAAATCTGAGAGAGTACAGTCGAGCAGCTGGCGCTGAGGGGACAAAAAGGTGAAACTGAACCTGTTCTGTCATGTTTAGATCTGTGGCCTGATTGGCTAACTCAGTGTCAGCTTAGTGAGCAGGTTTCAGACCCGAGCAGTACAGGTTTGATTCTGACTGCTGCTGCTGAGAGAGCAAAAGTGGAGTGACTCATGTTAGAGTGAAAGCTGAAATCGAATGTATTGTGTGGTGAGTGTAGCTCTTAGCCATCGCTGAGCCACTGACTGTGACCAGAAACTTTTGCTACTGCTGCTCCTGTCCTCCCCTCTACCTCCCTACTGCTCCTTCCCTACCTGGATAAACACAGAGGAGTCGAGGAGAGGAAAAGGAGGGGAAGTGGGAAAGCTGATTCCTTTCAGTGTCATTAAAATTGATGTTGACTATTGATGAACTGAGCTTATCACAACGTTCAGTTGAGAGCACGGCCCTGGACATGTGCAGTGATGTCACAGACTTCCTGAGAATACGCTCATGTATCCTCGGCTTGAAGCCGCTTCTGCAGCTGTTCGAAGCAGCTTCTCTCATCTCCTCTGGTATTTGGAAAGCAGGAAGGATGGCATCACGAAAACGGTTTCTGGGTCATGGAGGAGGAGAGGAGGAGGAGGATCAGTAGGGGAAAAAAAGAAGCTACTTTCAGGGTTTCTGAATGCGGCCACTGTCGTGCTTAGTTTTTCTGAGGTTTCGTCTGGCTTTGATTTTGCCTTCCCTCTATCAGCGCCATCTTTCGAGATCCAGGCATTGACCCCTCTGAAATATAATGATGGAATGTGTATATTTGGCCATTCAGATGTGGAAAAGAAATTTAGCACGTCATAATTTCTACATAGCAAAATAATTTTTAAATAGCGGCATCATTTTTAAAGAGTAACTACACCCTAAGAACCCCTCGTTAATAGCTGAAATGCATTGTTCTGTAATAATAATATACATCAGACTGTTATTTAGTGTTCTAGTTAGTTATCATTGCTAATTCTTAGTTATTGTGTTTGTTGATATTGTAGATTTTAGCCTTTTTAGACTTAAACTAGCCTTATATTGATAACATTCAATGTATGATTAGGTAACCTGACGGGCCACTTAAGTGAGGATTCTTTCAAGTGTTCATAAAGCTGCTGAGCTCGAAGTCGCAAAAGTGCCGTTTGATTCTGTCACTCTTCATATTTTCTGATAACTAATGAACATCGCTGCCGTGCCCCTTCTATTTTGAGCATTTTTCAAAGTTGAGCCAGGTGTGGAGTTGAAAATAGAGGGGTGTAGTTACTCTTTAATACTGTGGTGTCTTATTACCGTTATGGCTACCAACCCTAATTTGCAAGTTTCTCCACAATGAGGCATTACAGTCAACTCTGAAGGGCTTCATTTACATCTTAGTCATTTAATTATGCAGGAATTTTGAAAAATGTGTGGAATTCCCCTTTAAAAGTGTTTGGAATTGAAAATGGATTGAAAATAGGTGCTATTAGGCTTGCAAGATTAGACTTCTGTCAGTGGGAGTTTAACTTTATGATTACACTATGTTGAGTCAGGACACGACTATTGAATTGGAAATTAGTGTTGATTGTGTTCTTTTTATATGTGGCTGTAAATGGGGTGTTAAAGATACTTTGCCATTCTGATGCACAATTGATTTCTATTTAGCACAAAAAATATGCTACCCTGTAGTGGTGGACAGTGTGGCCAAAATATGACACACAATACTTCATGATGTTTGCACCCCACACGATAAGCATTATGATATTTAGCTTTTTTGAGGTTTGTAATGGAGAAGTTTAAGTTTGTACTGCCAAATTAGCATCTTGTCGAGTAAAATGATCTTGAATCTAGTCGACATATCCAGTATTTCTCCTGTTGAGATTGTTGTAAGCTTATTTTAAGATTATATAACTTATTTCCAAACATTTTTTCCTTGTTTTAAGTAATTTTATTATGTGAAAGTATCTCACTATGTTGGCCGATAATTGTGCTTGTTTTAAGAAATGTGCTTGAAACAAGCGGCATTATCTGCCAGTATCGTGAGATAATTTTACTTAATAAAATTACTTAAAACAGGTACAAAAATGTCTAGAAAGCTAGATAATCTTATACTAAGTGCACAACAATCTCAAAAGAAAAATTAGATACATCAACTAGAATTAAGATAATTTCTCTTAGCAAAATACTATTACTATACTAATAGTATTAGTATAAAAAAAATACTATACTATTTTTGCAGTGTAAAGTTGGATTGGAAAAAAGAACCAGAAGCATCTTATATAAAAATATGAATGTGAAATTTTATTTAAAGTTTCCCCCACTGCGCTAAACTATATCTAATTAAACAGGACTAATTATAGTCTCATTGGCATGAAATATGCAGTGCTGGGTTCTTTCTGATGATATCCATGATATACTTAGAAAGGCATACCTTGGTGAAATTTATCACAATAACAGTAAATATCATCATATTGCCCACCCTTACTCCTCTGGATATTCGGAGCAGTGACCAGCGCCATAAAATGCATACTGTTCATAGACCAGTGGGGATTTGTGGAAAGTATGCAGTTAAAGTGCGATAATATGCCTTCAGAACTATAAAAAATACAGTAATATAATCGTTTGACCAGTTTTGGGAGGATCCTCTGCTTCACCAGTGAGTTGCGCAGCTTTTTCACGGTCTGCTGCAGCGGTCCAAGCTTGCTGTCTGTTGGCCAGCAGCCGTGGCGATGGTCCTGACTCCGGCTTTTCCAATCTGTGCTTAGCTCACGTTTTTTGCAGTGATGTGGCACTTTGCTCTACATCAGCTTATGCTTTATTACGTTCGCTTTGCCAAAGCCGTTTGCAGACTCGTCCAGCTGGATTAGCCGAGCCCCTTCCCCAGTTTATTGCTGTTTAGGAGGTTAATAACGTAGTGCTTTTCTGGCATTTGATGTTTATGGCTTTTCCCTGCCTGGCCTCGCTGAGCCGAGCTGGGCTGAGCTGACTGCTCGCAGGGCTGGAGCTGCTCCGCTGCTGGCCAGTGATTATTGGATGCTTACAGGAGAATTTCCACTCTAAGCAGTTTATCTGGAACTGTCCTTTCGCCCCAAATGAATCAGACTGGGAGTGATTACTCTGCACTCGCTCGTCAGCGGGATTCGCAGATGGAGCAGAGCAGGCCAGCCTGTCTCTGTCTGTCTGAGCTCTCTTCATCAGGAAAGCACATCAAAGCAGATCATTAGGCTAACTTTATTAATTATTCTCTCTCTCTCTCTCTCTCTCTCTCTCTCTCTCTCTCTTTCTTTCTTTCTTTCTTTCTTTCTTTCTTTCTACTTTTTTCTTGCTCTTACTGGCACTTTTCACTTCCCTCTCTCTTTGTTTCACCTTTTCTCTTTTTTCTTACTCTTATTCTTTCTTTTCTCACTCTTTTGCTTACTTTCTTTCTTGCTTATTTTCTTGTTTCTTCCACTTTTTTGCTCTCATTCTTTCTTTTCTCTCTCTTTCTTTCTTTCAAATTGTCTTTCTTTTTGTTACTATTCTGTCTGTTCTCTTGCTTTTCTTTTTTGCTTTTATTTTTTTTTTGCCCTCTTTTTTCTTTCACTCTCTTCATTCTTTTTCTCTCTCTCACTCTCTCCATCACTTCTTTTTTTTATTGTAATTTCTTGTTTTATTTTCTTCTTTGGATTGTTTCTTTCTGTCTCTCTCTCTCTCTCTGTCTCTCTCTCTGTCTGTCTTTCTGTCTGTCTCTCTCTCTCTCTGTCTTTCTGTCTCTCTCTGTCTCTCTGTCTGTCTGTCTGTCTGTCTGTCTCTCTCTCTCTCTCTCTCTCTCTCTCTCTCTCTCTCTCTCTCTCTCTCTCTCTGTAGAGTATGGGCTGTAGAGGAAGCGTGTGATAGAGAATGATCTCATTCCGGTCCACTGTTTGAGGTAAGTGTGTTGATTTTCTCCAACAGAGGTTTTGTTTTATTCTCTTTTCTTTTATTTTTCTGTGTTCGCTGTTACATTAAATAATAAAGAAAGCCTGGAAGTGGGTGATATGATAATATTTTATCATTATCATGATCATTTTTTTATGAGAGAGAATCACCATAAACAGTATAAACTTTTCTAAAGGTGTTGTGGATTTTGTCTGTAGTTAAATAAACTGCCCAGCTGCATGTTTGACTGAGTGTAGTATTAGTCCTGTTTAACTAGATTCAGTGCAGTGCAGGATGTGAAACATTGAATAAAATAATTTTTGAGGGCTGTTTTTAAATGTGAAACTGCTAGTTTGCTGTGTCTGTGTGTCAAAATATTGTGGTGTATATCATTAACATGTCTTTAAATATTGTGATATTATATTTTTGCCATATTGCCCACCCTTAACCGGGCCCATCTTCATGAAGCTTGTCAGAGTAGGATTTCTGATCAAGGATCTGTTTCTGTTAGTACTGTAGTCATAAATAAGAAGGGAATCTGATCCTAGATCAGCACTCCTACTCTGAGATTTGTGGACTGTTTCAAGGAGTCCCAGGTTTAGACTTATGTTGGCAGAAGTGATAACTTCATACTGACACTGTGAAAGAACAGATTTATTAACTTGCTTAAGACAAACTTGTAAATATCATAAAAACTAGTACAAATATAGAAGTGGCATGGTGTATATAGGGGACATTAGTGGAGAAAACATTCAGAAAAGTCATTCTGAAATGTAGGTTAGTGAAAATTATGGGAATTCTCCAGCACGGAAATTCAGCAGTGATATAAATCATCTACATTTTAATGTGTTAACATGTTTTGATCATCGCTTGATTTCCCAATATAGATATTTGACATTTCTGATACTTGAAAAAAATTTGATGGATGATAGATAATTACCTTTGAAAATGATCATGACCTTGCTGCATTTTCTGTGCATAGCACAGTCGACAAATTAGCTATTCCAATTTTGCCCTCCATAAATTTATATTTTATTGATTTTTTGCGCTGCTGAAGTGTAACACAGGACTTTGTCCTCAGGCTCAGCGATGATGCACAAAATTCTTCTGTTCTGTTTTTTTAGATCTCAGCACAGCTTTTGATACCGTTGACCACAAGATTCTAATCCAGAGTCTTGAATGCTGGGTCGGCCTCTCAGGCACAGTTTTAGAATGGTTTAAATCATATTTTGATGATAGGCAGTTCAGGTTTCAATGGGAAACCATTCATCAAAAAGATTAGGCTTTTCTTGTGGAGTCCCTCAAGGTTCAATTTTAGGGCCTTTGCTTTACCTCTAGGTTATGTCATTAGGAAACAATATAAATTTTCATAGCTATGCTGATGACACCCAGTTATACATTTCCGTTCCTTCTGATGATCAAGACTCTAGACAGAGTAACTAGCTGTGTTTTAGGTATTTCTCAGTGGATGTCGCAAAGTTTTCTACAATTAAATAATGAAAAACAATGGAACTGCTGATCGTTGGTACAAAACATCAGAGGAAGCTGCTTTTTGAGAAATGTGGTTCTTTAGCATCATATACCAATCCTGAAGTAGGAAACCTGGGAGTGATCTAAATATTTATACTTTCTTGTATTACTGTTGCTTTATCACCTGTCTGTAAAGCACTTTTAGCTGCCACCGGCATTAAAAGTGCTATATAAATAGAAATTATTATTATTATTATATGTGCCAGTTATACATTTTGATGAGTTGCCGCTTTTGCCATTTATATTCTTTAATTTATCTTGCAGCTGTCTGATTTGAGGACCAACTCAGTCCAGCATGGAGGCCTCCACCATTCTCCCTGTACTGAAGAAGAAGCTGGCGTTTTTGTCAGGTGAGGAATTGTGTCAGAAGGTAGATACTGTTGCTGTGGCCTAACTGCACACTGAACGTGAACTGTAAGTGTTTTGTGAGTATATAGAACGTAGCAAATTCTCAAATGCCAAGGCCGATTTTATTAAAAAATGGTGTGGTCTTGGTGTTGATAGACTATTATTGTCCCAGAATATAACATGAAGTGGAATAAACTAATAAAATAAACCGAATAGGTGTGATTATTTTGCACCTTCAGAGAAAAACACTGATCTGCTTCAGTTCAGTCTGTGTAAATATATTCCGTGCTAGATAAAAGGCATAAACAGTTGTGTTTTTTACGCTTCCCACCATTTGCTGATTGTTCTGAAGTAGCCTACAGGGGCCTGTCTCATAAAGTATGTTCGGCTTAAACAGCTTTCCTGACTAAGTTTCAGCTTCGCGAAGCATAACTAATGAAGCTGCAGTTAACTCGTTTATGATGCCGGTTTCTCTTTTAACTGGGGTTTAGATGCCCAGATACTACGAACAGCCAATCGTGTGAAACATGGAGTCAAGTGGCTTGTTTTTCAAAGAAGGAAACAGAAATCATATTACCTAAATAGAAGGATAGAAAGGAGCTCGGTCAGACGTTTAAAATCATGTGATTTCCACACAGATTGAATGCAGTTTCCAGTTTTCTTGACCGACATCCACTGAGCGCAACAGTGGCTCCATGCTCCAACCAATGAGTGTATAAACCGATCAACCAGAACATTAAAACCACCTTGTTTCTAAATTCATTGTCCATTTTATCAGCTCCACTGACCATACAGGAACACTTCTGTAGTTCTACAGTTACAGACTGTAGTCCATCTGTTTCTCTACATACTTTGTTAGCCCGCTTTTGCCCTGTTGTTCAGTGGTCAGGACCCCCATGGACCCTCACAGAGCAGGTACTATTTGGGTGGTGGATCATTCTCAGCACTGCTGTAACACTGACATGGTGGTGGTGTGTTAGTGTGTGTCGCGCTGGTCTGAGTGGATCAGACACAGCAGTGCTGCTGGAGTTTTTAAACACCTCAGTGTCACTGCTGGACTGAGAATAGTCCACCAACCAAAAATATCCAGCCAACAGCGTCCTGTGGGCAGCGTCCTGTGACCACTGATGAAGGATTAGAGGATGACCAACACAAACTGTGCAGCAGCAGATGAGCTATCTGACTTTACATCTACAAGGTGGACTGACAAGGTAGGAGTGTCTAATAGAGTGGACAGTGAGTGGACACAGTGTTTAAAAACTCCAGCAGCACTGCTGTGTGTGATCACACAACACATGTTCTTTGGTTACTGACTGACTCATGTAGACCCGGAGTTTCCCCATTATCTGATTACTAAAGTGCATGTAAGCGTGTTGATTGGATTACTGACAAAATCAGATTTTCTGCAGTTATCGGATTATTGAGTGCATGTAAACGCACTCATTACTATATTATACATGTTAAGGTTATCTTTGACATCACTGATGTTAATCAGAACTAATAATTCTATAATTAATAATAATATGTAATTAAATGCCAGTCTTTTTAACAGCTATTTTTTATTATCTGCTTAGCTTATTATCCTGTCACACCTATCCATCAGAGCTCACTGAAAGCATGGTGAGGGGTGTGAGTGATGTAGTGAGTCAGTTGAGTGAGGTTATCAGTGTGTCCCAATTCAGGGGCTGCATCCTTCAAAGGACGTGGTGTATGAAGGCGTGTCCTTCGAAGGCTGCTTAGACCCGTGAAGGCTGAACCGAAACGAGACGGTCTGCTCTACAGTGGATTTCCTGTTTGCGTCACAGCACCGGTGTTCCCGCCCTTACCGCTGCATCACGAAATGGCGCTCCTGTCAAGTTCTTTAAAGACGGAGCCGAAAACTTTGATTTTAGTTTTATTTTTTCATTGATTAGAGCTGGAGATACTTCACCACCGGCTACTGAGGAGATTGGATTAAACCTTAGCTACTCTCCTCAGTTTAAACCCAGTACTTAAAAGTTAAACTTAAAAGTGTCTCCTCAGCCTCCGTTCGCTCCTCTGCTGATGCCGCCACGTTCTCGAATCCTCGCCGGCATGCAATGAACTTCAGGATACGTTGGCTGGTGAAGGATCCACCTGTTGGAGCCTTTGTTGCCATGGAAATGAAGGACAAATTTCTTGGCCGCATATAAAAGAGCCTTCGAAATGAGACTGTGACGCAGTCGGCCTTCAAATGCAGCCTCCCAAGGGTGCAGCCCCTGAATTGGGACACAGCTTAAGATGTGGGAAAACAAAACAGAAACACTTTGAAGCTTCACTGAACATGAACTCTCAATGACTGTCTCATTTTACAACTTAAAGGGGAATTCTGCCAATTTTTCAATTTTTTTGCGTAAATAAATTCTTAAGAAACAAAGTAATTCAGAGAGGTTTGGTTGGTGAAATGCTCTGTTCTAGAGAAACAAGTCAGAATTGGTTGCAGTGGTGGCGATGGGAACCAAGTTAAATGCCTCTGAGAGCTCTGTCACAGAAAGTTTCCATGCATTAATTGTGGAGAAGTACATGCAGGGTGTTGTGAGGCAAAATAGTCCTCAAGAAAAACAATGCATTTCATGTTTTCCACTGTTTTACCATCAATATTACGTACAGTATAAAAACTCAGACACATGTAGGTTCAGTGGTGGTTTTGGATAGTAAATAAAATCACTATATTTTTATAATACTGACTTCTGGTTCCCATCAACACCGCTGTACAGGCAAGTTCCTCTACAATTAACCACTCTGAGTGACTTCACAACAATCGAAATTGAGCTCTCTAATTCAAGCAGCACATTCCCCCAGACTGGTCACTGGATTGCTTTTGTTTTTTTGTTGTTGTACATTGTTAGAGTAGACAGATTGTTATTTCATAAGATTTTTTTTTTTTTTTAATTTGGTTTATTTATAACTGTTTATGCATTGCTGTAGCAGTGAATACGTGTCTTAACCCAACTCCATCCTGAAACAGAAAAATTCAGTCGTTCTCGGTTGAATTTTCATTACACAAATAATATCATTATACTTGGCTTTGACAGGTTCGCAAAATAATTCTTAATTATGATTTGGTGCCGATAAGCCAAAATCCTTCAGCCCCTGCAGTTCTGCTTTAATGAGCTCTTTGGGTTTGAAATTAAAAGGTCCTTCGTTATTTTATCCAGCTTCCACTTCATTAGCATCCTCTTAGCTCCTTGTGTCATACAGGTAGTTGGCAGCCGTTTCATCCATTTCCTGACCTTGATGACTGAAATTGAAAACAAGGTTGTAAAATATGTATCAGGTCATTACTTAACGCAGATTGCCATCAGCTTGCAGTGGTCTACTTGACCACGGGAGTCCTAGTAAATCGTGGGACAGAGGCTGCTTCTTTCACCTGTTTTCACTGTTTTTCACTGCGGACTGTTATTGATTTTCTTGCATTTTATGTTTTTGGCCCTTGAGGTCCACTTAGGATACTTAATTGGTTTTATGTACTAAATATCATATTTTTACACAATTTTTCAATCTCTCTTTATCCTTTAGAATTAAACAGACTGTTTTTGTGACTGATATATATCTAAATGGCTTCTTCTTATTGGCTGCTCTGTATTGAGTCTCATTCAGAAAGCATTCCAGGCTGAAACACACTTAAACAATTCAGTGTGAACAGGTGGTGCTAGGCTGCTGAAGGCCGAATAGGCTAATATATGTAAATAGTTGGTTTTTCGTGACATCACAAAAGCAATGAATTCAAAACAGGCTGTTTTGCAGCTAAGTTTCCATATATGGAGTCCGTGGACTGAAGAGTGAATGGTACACTTAGTATATTTACATACTACATCAAACTCCTTGTATATAAAAAAAAAAAGGAAAGGCAAATTCAGTTTTACTGTTTTACCTTAGAGCTAGTGCAGCCAGCCTAAACAAACACCATCATACTAATGTTGACAGTCGGCTGTGTGATTTCCCAGTAAAAGACCTAACAAGCCAAATAAACCAGTGAGAACATTGTAGAAACTTTCCTATCATCATGCACCAGTACAGTACACTGATATTAATGCTGTTTGGATTAATGTGAAGGCAGTTGGTCTGTACGAGTTACAGTGCTGAAGTTTTTAATCATAGTTCAGTCAATCCTCTTGCCGGTGATTAATGTCTTTGACTCTACATGAGTTCTTATGTTTGAGGAGCAGCCGAGATCCGTCTTACAGTGCTGTGTTTACGCGACTCCAGTCCGCTGCAAATGATTTCTCATTTGCTGCAGTTGTGAAGGAATGTTTTGGTCTTGTCCTTGAAGCCCAGCACTAAGATTATGGTTTTTCTCCCCAGCAGAACAGCATCTTCTGTGGTGGTAGTCTCTCTTACCTCTATTTTAACCCTGTTTCCAGCCATGCTGACATCTGGAAACAACTTAATCTCACTTAGAGAAATCAAATGGAGTGCAAGATGATTGGTTACGGGGAGCTTTAATGAGGGGAAAATGCTTGAGTGACAGCTCTACTGTTTAATGGCTGTTTTGCAAGTTTTGAGTTACGTCTGCGATTCTGTAGAGTAAAATGACGTATGGCGAAACGTGATTACATTTATTATTTACATTATTTATCTTTATACGGGAACAGAGTCTAATCTGCAGTCCATGGGCCACGTTTCCAATTTAAGGAATAGTTCAGTGTAAAATGGGATGTAGGCAAGGGCCCCCAAGGGGTTCAGGGGAAAAAGCTTGTCATACAGTGTCAGAAGCCACATCAGCAAGTCTATTAGGCCATGTTTACACAGCAAGTAAAAGTGGCCCAAATCCAATCTTTTTCCTCATATGTGAACAGCAAAAAACACACTGAATCTGACATTTTCAATTCCGATTTGAGATGCTTTCATGTGGTACTGAAATCCGTTACGTATCCGATCTGCAGCGATGCGACTCTGTCTGAACAGCCGGATCGTAATTCATGCAACTTTTACGTCAATCCGACTCGACATTCGTCATAATTTTGTGCTGCTGAGACTCGTATAAACATTTAGGCTGATGTTTCTGTACCAATTTAGAAGAGACTTATCACGATTGCTCCGTGTTCAAAGAGGTTTAGGAAGACCGAGCCCTTTTTACGGCTCGAACACATAACTGGGTGATGAGCCCAGCTGTCAGTCAGTGAAGCTTTATGATGACTCCTGTGATGCTGGTGAAGATAAAACTGAAAACTCCCGGAGCGGGTTGGCGTTCGTTCAGTCAAGATAGTTTACCTCTGAATGAGCTGCATGAAGCACTGTTCTTTCGTGCATGCAGGTCAGTTTGGGAGCTGATCTGTTCAGACTGATGTCACATATAGATCACATTTAAAATAAATAAATAAATAAATAAATAAAATCGGATTTGGTGAGAAAATCAGATTTGGGCCACTTTTACCTGCTGTGTGAACGTAGCCTTAGAGATTACTTGACCACATGGTTTGAGGCAAGTGTGATGATTTATGCATGCAGTTAGCAATGCTAATTGTGTAAGCTTCCATTACTTGTTTGTAGGCCTGTCACAATCATGAGAATTTAGCTAACGGATAAGTAAAATATAAATATTTGCGTTTATCCGTTGAATTTTTTTTTTTGTTATTTGGTTGTGTGAAGCTCTTAGGCTTGTACTTTAGTTTGGCAAATTGGCTGATTAGCCATCTTGCTTTCTTGCTGTCCATATTTGCCAGCTCCCAGCTGACCACAGAAACAGCTCTAACTCAAGTAAACAAACATTACTCAACGCTGCCCTCTAAAGGTTTTATAGCGCCAATTCAGGAGCTAGAACTAAATGTTTTTTGCATTTTGTAAAAACCTGCTGTATTTGCATTCTGTTTGTTGTGATGTAAACATTTGACTTGGAAAGCATCAACTGTGGAAAATAATTGTGACCAGCTGAAATTATTGCAATCGGGTGATTATGTGCTAATTTTGACAGGCCGTCTTGTTGGATACGTTAGCCTCGTAGCTCCAGTGAAAAACTAAAGAAGCAAAGGCAAATTCAGTTTTTTGCCAAACTCTTCCCAGTGGAAAAGCAAAAACAGAACTGTCCCTCATATCCTCTCCCTTCCACAAAGTGAACCACTGACGTCAGACTGGGTTTTGTTTCTGAGCACAGAGCCTTATTCTCAGATGGCATGTGCTCGTTTCTCATGCTGACCTTAAAAATGTCCGTCTTGATTTCATGGCATCTCTGAAGGTCTTATTATCTTAACACTTCCGGCCCTGCTGACCGATGCCTGTGTTTTCCCTGATTCTTTATTTTTTTTCCAGGAGGTAAAGACCGACGTAGCGGCCTGATTCTGACCATCCCGCTATGCACGGAGCAGACTAGCATGGAGGAGCTCAGCTCCACTCTGGATTACCTGCTCAGCATCCCCAGGTGAGCACACCTACAGGGCCTGCTGTATGAACAAAGTACTTGTGTTATGATTGTGTTGCTGCACACTGAGATTGTGAGTCGCCTTGCAATCTAGTAAAGGACCCATATTCCTTTTTTTCTTCCTGTAGTCCTTTCGTAATATTTGTGTGGTTTTCTTTACCAAAAACAGTCGCGGTTCATTTTTACGTGGCCATTCTCCAACTTCTGTTTATCCCTTAGAATTAGAGGTTTTTATTGCGCTGCCTTTAAAATTGAAGTCTGCAAATAACCTCTGCTCTCTTTGGATCCCTGTATTATGCCTAATTCAAAACTAGATGGTTTGTTATGATACATCAGTTATTAAAAACATAAAAAGGCATTGCATAGTGACAGTAGAAGTAGTGATTAGATGACTTCACTTGGTTAAGATTTTGCCTTTTTATTACTTTTACAAGATGCGATTTATGGGCTGTAAACGCATGATTTATTAAACCTACAGCAAGAACTACCAAACCATACTAAGAAACGCCAAACCATACTAAGAACTAGCAAACCACAGCAAGATCTAGCAAACCATACCAATAACTCATAAACCACAGCAAAAACAAAGTTAGCTAATTTTCCGACCAGAAAGCGTGTTTATTTATTCCAGTTCTGAAATGGGTTACTTGAGAAATGTGTCCCAGATATCGACATTGGCTCTTAGTATTAACAATTAGTATTAATAATAATACAATAAGATTAGTAATAATGTAATAATATTATCCAAAAGAAGTGAATTGAGTATGATTACATAAAATACCTTGGTTCATAAAAATGCCCACAGAAACACTTATCTGGAGCTATGATTGGTCAGGATGCTCACAGTAAAAATCAGTGTGATTGGTTAGAGGGCTCATTTGCAGACTGTAACCTTCTGCATTGTCTGTTTTTTGCAAACATCAGTAACTAGATTAGTTTTATTTACTAACTTGCGTTAGTAATTTATTAAATTACATTTGTATTTTATTTATCTTTTTGGTTTATGTTACATTTTATACATTGTACTAGCCTATCGTGTTTATTTTCTTGTCAAAATGCATACAAGTCACGTTTATTGTCACATCACATTTACACAGGTGCAAGGTGTGTGAAAATCTTAGGTGCATAGCCCTCTTTGTAGAATTTAAATACAAAAAAAAAAAAAATACACACTAGTTTAATATATTCAACATACACTAGTTAGGCTTGTTTAAAAGTCTGATTATGATATTTTGTAGAATACAGTCTTTCTCACTGAGTGTTAACAATTAAACAAAATATCAGCCCTAATACTTACCCATCCCCCCTTTAGCTGTCCATATTAAGCCTTCTGTGCTCACAGAGAGAGCCTCAGGCTCCTGCATGGACCATCAATCACATCCCTTTAAAAGCTCCGAGCAGAGAGAGAATTATTAGAGCATACATGGATTATTAGTATTACCTTTAAGTTCATTGTAATGCATGCTGCCTTATTCTCAAATGGGATGGGTAACAGCAGTAATCCTTTATCAGTCTGACATTAAAAGTGTCTGTATTGATTTTTAGGGACCTTTTGAAAATCTTTTTGGCTCTTTGCTTCTAGAGGGCATTTGATGTACTGCTCTCTTTGGGGATGCCATTCTGTTTGTATTGAACGGGTCATTTCCACCTTGTTAAAGTGGAAAAGACAATAAGATTTGGTTATAAAAGGCCTCTATATTTGTTCTTGTGTTTTTTGTTTGTTTTTTAACAAGAGTTTGATATGATGCTATGGAAACTTTACAGTCTATATGTATGGAAACAAAACTAAAAATTATGCATGCAAAAACGGCCTCTTTTGAATTTGTCTTAGTTGTTGTGATGTCACAGCCATGAACTTATTTACATATTACCACCCATTTTGTTGTTGTTCCTGCAGATAGTCTATAGGAGAGTTATTGGAACGGAAGATTTGTTTAAATAATTAAACGTTGTGCTGTTCCTGGCTGTCAGAAAGCAAAGAGATTATTGCAGCCATCTAAAGAATCCAAAATGAGAGGCTGAAGTTAATACCTCTTAAGCACCCTAACAGAAAGTTATTACATATTAATGGTTATGAATACACTGCCTGATGCCTAAGATTCTTTTTTGATAGTGTAGCTTTGTTTTTGGTCTAAAGTGTATTTTTAAAATCCACTTGTTGTGGGCAAAATAGTCCCCTAATAGTCCCCTTTTCTCCCACGTGTAGGTTCACCAGTGTTTTTGAATGGTAAATAAGTGGATACGTTGATGTTGTAGATCACTATTGTCTATTAGGGATGCACCGATACCACTTCTCTGATACCTCATCCATGAGTATTGGCCAATACAGATACAAATTTTTGATTTGTTGCCTGCAACACACTCAAAGGTTGGATTAGGGACAAAATAAGAGTAAAAAAAGTCTATAGATATTCAAGTTACATTGTTTTAAAGCATTCCACAATAAGCAGGTAAGAGGTGAGGATGCCATGATTGGGTATAAAAGGAGCATCAACCAAAGGCTCAGTCTTTGTAAGCAAAGATGGGTTGTGGCTCACCAGTTTGTGCCAAACTTCTTAGAAGAATTGTCAAACAGTTCAAAAAGAATATTTCTCAACACAAAATCGCAAAGAATTTAGGTCTTTCACCATCTGCCGTACTTAATATTGTGAAAAGATTCAGGGAATCCAGAGAAGTCTCAGTGTGTAAGGCAAGGCAGGAAACCACTGTTGTGTGCATGACCTTCAAGCCCTCAGACGGCACAGCAGTCATGCTGCTGTATTAAGTATAGCCACATGGGCTCGGGAGTACTTCAGAAAGCCATTGTCACTTAACACAGACGGCGGCTGCATCAAGAAACTTGAAACTCTGTTATACAAAGAGAAAGACATACATTAATTCTGTACAGAAACACCGCCGAGCTCTCTGGGGCTGAGCTCATCTCAGATGATCTGATAATTATTATCCACAGTTTCCACATGATTAAGAAGTGTTATTAAAAGGAAAGGTAACACAGTGGTAACACATGACTCTGTCCCAACTCTTTTTTGAGTGTGTTGGAGGCATCAAATTGTAAATTTGTTTTTATATATATATATATATATATATATATATATATATATATATATATATATATATACAAAATATGATTAAGTTGGTGAAAACATTGGGATCTTTCTTTGTAAGTTAAATTAAGGTTCAAGAAAATTAGTACATCCTAGAGTTTTTATAGCATTTTTCTTAATGTACCAGATTATATTTAACAACTAATGTAAATGCAAAACATTTTTTGTGCAAAGTACTTAAAAACAGAACTGAACAATATATAGTCAGACCTGTGATCTGTACATGTAAGCACAGAACTGTTTCTCTGACTCAGCAAAAATGGTGCTGAATATTGCTTCGCATTAGAATTTCTGAAGTCATTTGTCTCCTATGTGTCCCTTTTACTCGCACTTACATCTCTAAACATCACACTCAGTCGGAGTTTGGTAAATATTAGTCTTTCACGCCAGAAGTGGTTGAGCCGCAGATTTCTTAGTTTTGTTGAGGCAAAAGGCCACGAGTTCCCGCTGCCGCGTGATGTGGGCACCTCAGGCGGGGCTAGTGGACACGGGTCCAGCTAGCGAGCTGGTTTGCTAAATCAGTGGTAGTTTCTCTACAATGAATCCTTTCACATCTAACCACTATAAATGACTGTTTACATGCCAACGATTGAATTGTGTGGAAATTTAGAAAAAAAAAATGGTGCAATTTGCCTTTAAAGACACAATAACAAAACCAGTTTAAGGGGTAAAGAGAGGTTGGAAAATGTTCATGTACAGATGATTTACGGCTATTTTTGGTGCATAAAACCACACAGACATCGCGAGTCGGCTTCAGGGGAAAAAAGCGATGTACGGGACGTTTTGGAAGAGAGTAAAAGTTTAAGGATGCAGCCACAGCCTGAGCAGTTTTCTCCTCTTCTCACCATTTTCAGTCATGTAGCTCCAGTCAGCAGTGTTTCCACTTGTGCTTTCATGGTGGCACTCACCAAATTGCTCTCTACTCATGATCTTTTGAGCTTTTTAATGAGCCTGGCGCCTGTTCCTGAGGCTTTCAGACTGAACCAAAGTGCCATTTAAATGCCAGCAGATCCCTACTGCTGTCTGAATCAGGCTTCACAGTTCAGTGCTGTTTTTATTTTTTATTTTTTCCCCCTAGCGGGCTTCCCTAACAATGATCCGTGTGAAATGTGCCCGTTCCACCTCACTCTGGTACACTGGTTTTGTATTTTTGGAATATTCGTGTCACCCAGAGTTCATTTCGGTGCCACCTCGCTGGCAAACAAATGAGCCTCTATGTTCAGTTGATGCAGCAGATAAGAATAGAAATGTGTTGTGGTTGAATGTAGATGGCGAGTTGAAATTCCTCTCTTCATATATCTGTGTATTTGATATTTTCTGTGAAGTTTAAATGGCAAAAATGTTGATCTCATGAAACAACGTATTTGCTGACATGTCTCTTTCCTTCCCTCTCACCGCCGCCATCCATGGACAGTGAGAAGTGTAAAGCGAGGGGTTTCACTGTGATCGTGGACGGGAGGAAGTCTCAGTGGAACGTGGTGAAGACGGTTGTCCTGATGCTACAGGTAGAATCACTTTGTAATGGGAATAGATCGGTGAAAAAGCAGCGTTGCATATTTTTCCCCTTAGCCTAAATGAAATTGATCAAACAAGAGACATTCCTTAGTTTTGGCCTGGACCTGTGAGGCTTTTACCCCATCAGTTAGTACTGTGCTAACTTCATGCCTGAATCATCTTACACTTGCCTCAAACTGTGTTGAGTTGTTAGGAAATCGTAATAGGCTTGTTTATGTGGTTTCTATTTGACATAATATTGTTTGACATACTGCAGTAGCAGCAGCAAAGTTGAAGCCAGACTCGTCTGTGTTTGTATCCAGGTTTGTCTACTTACATAAGCAAGTCTAACAGCTAGACATGGTTTGATGTAAGTGATTACATTTGGAGCACAAACACCTAACTCTGAAATCTGTTTAGCCACCAATGACAATTTCACTTAGGACTAAATCTAGGAGAGTAGCTGATACAGAATAACACTTCCCAAGTTCATCCTGTTATCTTCGGATTGGACAAGAATATTACAGAAACATTACACCGATCACGCATAACAGTATGACCACCTCCTTGTTTCTACGCTCATTGTCCATTTTATCAGCTCCACTTACTATATAGGTGCACTTTGTAGTTCTACAGTTACAGACTGTAGTCCATCTGTTTCTCTGCATACCTTGTTAGCCCCCGTTTACCCTGTTCTTCAGTTCCTCTAGTCCTTCATCAGTGGTCACAGGACGCTGGTCACAGGACGCTGCCCACAGGACGCTGTTGGCTGGATGTTTTTGGTTGGTGGACTATTCTCAGTCCAGCAGTGACACTGAGGTGTTTAAAAACTCCAGCAGCACTGCTGTGTCTGATCCACTCAGACCAGCACAACACACACTAACACACCACCACCACGTCAGTGTTGCTCCAGTGCTGAGAATGATCCACCAGCCAAATAGTACCTGCTCTGTGAGGGTCCATGGGGGTCCTGACCACTGAAGAACAGGGTAAAAGGGGGCTAACAAAGTATCAGAGAAACAGATGGACTACAGTCTGTAACTGTAGAACTACAAAGTGCACCTATATAGTAAGTGGAGCGGATAAAATGGACAATGAGCCTAGAAACAAGGAGGTGGTCAGAATGTTATGCCTGATCGGTGTATAATTTGCCAACTTTTCATAGTGTCTTAACTTTAGGATAACTCTAAGCTTTTGTTTGTACTGTTAGCCATTTAATTGAGCATAGAATTTGAATGTGTTTAGGCAACTTTGACAGGTAGCATAAGATGTTCACTAGCATTTGTTTGCATAATGATTGTTTTGGATGTTTTACGTCTCAGTTGTAAGTGGTGTATCCTCAGTTGCTTGGTAACAGACATAATTGTTTATCAACCCAAATTGTTGACTAGTTTATGATATCCAGACCTGAGTAATACATACAATGAATTTGTGAAAAATCTTCAGCCTTTTTAGGTCTTAACATAAGAAGGTTCTGGGTTACACTTTACTGAAGGGCAGCATTCATAAAGCTACATGACACCTACATATGGCTCTCATGACAACTGACAACTTTCACCTCAGCAAGTGTCATGAGAACTGATGTTGGAATAAGCCTTTATACAAGTCTGTATACAGTGTCAAAAGAAAGTATGTGAACCCTTAGGAAATGCCTGCATTAATGTTTTAAAGTTGTTTGGTCTTCATCAGTAAATAAATATTTAATATTTAATTAATTTATATTTTTATATCTTTAATAAATCTTTATAATAAAGAACAAAGTAATGACATTAGTATTATCATCTTGTCTATTTTGAATAAATCATCCAAACCTTCACAGTGTAGGTTGGAAAAACATAAAGCTAACCCTAGGCTATTGACTTCAACAAAAGCTAAAACACTGCATTCGCAAAACCTGGGAGAAGCGTCCTGCAGCCGTATTGTTGACGTTCCGTCAGCGTAATGTGTACGAACAGTCAATGCCAGCCATGGCTTCCAAATCAAGATGTTATGTGAGCCCTGCTAATGTTCTGCAGTTAACTGTATTCATTGTTAAGCTAAAGCATGGTTAGACTCAAACTCAGTCATCAGTGTCAGTTGTCAATCATGAACAACACTCGAAAATGATCAAAACTACAGAATTCACCTAACTGTCTGCCTGTGACAGAGAGATGACAGACGGCTGAAAGTTCTTCCTCTTTATTCTTGCTATACAAAGATTCCTTCTTTGCTGGCTCAGCTCTTCAGCCTCTTTCCTTTCATGACATCTGGGATGCTTTATTAACTAACAGCATACAGACGGTGGCTCTTTGAGCGCCGCTGTAATTGCTGTGTTGACCAGTGGTATGTCAACAACATGGCAGTGGCAACACGCGTGACGTGAATTGAATATTGTCTACTCGGGTCAGGAGTTAGCAAACCTGGAGTCCAGTCAGTGAAATGAGATTGGAGGTGTGGGTTGGAGCTACTTTGACTTAACCCTGAAATGTTTTGAAGCATCTGCTGATGTGAATGTTATCTTGCTAAAAGGAGAACTCAGAGGACCCATGATCAATAATTGATGGTTTTTATATAGCTGGAAAGGGTTAAAAAGTGATCTCAGAGTTTAGGTATCAGTCTACAGTAAGATAAATTGTCTATAAATAGAGACTATTTAGTACGGTATATGCTCTCCCTAAAGTGGGCACCCAGCCAAGATCACGCAGCATGCTTAATGAAGTGACAAAGAACCACAGTCACAGCTAAAGACTTTACTGGAACTGGTTAACATCTCTGTTCATGATTCTGCCAAACGAAAAACACTGAACAGACATGGTGTCGAAGGCAGGACACTAAGGCCCAGTCCCATTTCAACCCTCGCCCCTACCACTTAGCCCTTATTCCTCTGTTTTGCGCGTTCACGTCTAGGGTTAGGGTGTCCCAATTTTTGTTGAGATAGAGGGGTAGGGCGAAGTGTTAGGGCTACGTGGTCCTCCAAACGGAGGTTTTTCAGAGACTCCAAACAGAGTGTTATGACAAAAAAAAGAAAAACTGGCAAGATGGCTGAACAAGAGACCAAAGAAACCCACAAATGTGAGAATTTTCCCTGTTAAAAAAATCACGATAATCACTGTATTATCTTAGTTTAATGTCGTTTCAGTGTATTATGGTCATTTTCATCATAACCAGCATAAAAAATCACTAATAGCATGCTAATGTCTCGGTAGCTAGCTAGCTAACTTTTCTGTTCCATCTTAAATAGTCCAGCAGTTCTGACGGCTGAAGCGCCAGAATGTAACTGCTGCTCCGTTTAAGGTGGAACGGGAAAATTCGAACAAGAAGCTGGTGAATACCTGACTTCAGCTTCATATCACTGAAGAATTAGGGGTGGGTGATAGTAAATAATTGCCCCCCTCTTTGAAGATCATATGATTCCCTAAATGTAACTAAAGCCCAGCAGTGAGTAGCTGAACTTTACCCTCCTCTGCTGTCACTGAAGACGGGCCAGGTTGCCTACAGAGCAGCTCTAGTAGCTGTTATTAAAGGGTTTTTTTTGTTTTTTTTTTTGGAAGGTCCCCTTTCCTAGGGCAAGATTTCAATGACTGCCCCTTGTAACTCAATTCACAAGGGGTTAGGGTGACACTCGAAAGCAAGGGGTAGGGGTAAAAAGAAGAAATGGGGTTGGGCCTATGTAAGAAGCTGCTGCTCTACAAGAAACATTGCTGCATGCCTGAAGTTTGACACTCCAAAATGCTACTGGGAAAATGTTTTGTGGGCTGATGAAACTGAGGGTGAATTGTTTGGGAAGAACAGACAGCAGGATGTATCGGGATGAATCAAACCACCTTGGGAGCCACAACATTTAATGTCAATTTTAGCATCTTGGCTGTAAATGTCTCAATATGTGCTGCTAGCCTACGCTAAAAATGCAGGCTTACTTTGCTCTGCTTTAAGCTTTAGCTCAGCTGTAGCCTATATTCTCGCATCTCCGACAGGAAACGCTTCCGCATTGTCAGCATTCAAGGCTGAAGTCAGCTTCTCATATGCCAGCTTCAAATTCCCGTTCCACCTTAAAATGATGCCTGAGGTGACCGAATGTAACTGCTGCATCATTTAAGGTGGAATGGGAACAGGAAGCTGGCAAACGAGAAGCTGATTTCTACAGGCTACTTTAGCGTTTTAGATCATTTATTGATAAACTGTGTTGAACGATCAGCAGAGCTTTATTTTACTGCAAAGGAGGATTATTTTATTTTTACCTACTAATCTGATTCTGCTGTGGAGCCACAACAAGGCAGTAAAAGAGCCACATGTTGACGACCCCTGCCCTAAACATTGAAGCAAATCTGCTACAGAACGGCTTCAAAAAATAAAAATTGCCTTTTAGAGTGGCCTAGTCAGGGTCCAGACCTTAACTCAGCAGAGGTGCTGTGGAATGACCTTGAGAGCCATTCACACCAGACGTCTGGAGAATATGGCTGAGCTGAAGCACTTCTGTAAGGAAGAATGGTCCAGTGTTCCTTTTAAATGTTGTCCAGTTAATGCAGAAAACTAGGTAGTCGCAAAGGATTTGCTTACTTATTCCTGCCACTGTAGGCTTGTCGGTTGTCGTGAAAGGCTTATGTAGGTGTTGTGTAGCCTTACGAACACCCTTCAGTAAAGTAATACGTTACCTGGAGCATAACCCGTGATCACTTTGGAGTTCTGTTTCTGTACGCCTCACATCAGCCTTGCATTGCCTCAGTCTTTTCCAGCACAACCTGATTGGCAGGAAGTAGCCGGTCATGCTGCAGGCTGAATTATTTCCCTACGGCCACATGCTGCATGTCCTCGTGTGTTTCCTTTGCATATGGTGCTGTTTTGTCGGCTAAATAATCAGTCTTTCACACTGGCGTGGAGGAGTGTTCCTTGTTACGGATAAATTGAATTTCAGTGGGTTATGTGTAGCTTAATTGCTTGAAAATGTCTTATTTCATATAAAGGTACATTAATGAAATGGATCTGCAGTGAAACAGCTGGAGGTTAAGCTAAGTTCTTGTGACTGGTTTTAAATTGTAATTATAGCACAGCTGATAATTATAACACTGATAGTGATTGTAATGTACTCTGTTCAGAACAGTCCTCAGCTTGTTTGCTTGCTACTTTGAGCAGCCTTAAAAAAAAAAAAAGCATCTGTTTCCAAAATGCCGCAGTCGTAATGAGCTAAGCCATTATCACAAGATCAGCATGAATCGGTTCTGGCAGTTTTCCTTCTATTTGTTAAGACAAAGCGCCGCCTTTGAAATGGTTCACTTTGAGGTTTTATTTGTGATATGAATTGGAGTCTGTTCTGTGCTTATTTTTCCTCTGTTGTGTGACCTAGAAGCTCGGAGGTAGCGCCATAAAACCCAGTGCGTTTGACCTACTTGAGTCATGCTGTTAGCTCATAGCTATTTGGCTCTAGTGTGTTGTACCATCTTTTCCATTATGACTTGGGGGCAGTTCATGATGAGCCCCTGTTGTAGTATTATTTCCTGATAGAAGAATCAAAATAACACTAAATCAAGATGTAATTAAAGGTTGCTTAGAAGAGCTGAAGACAAAAAGAGGAAGATTTACCCCACAAAAGAAAGTGTAGTGTAGTTGATGAACAGACATGTTTGGACTGGACTGTGGCTACAAGGCTAGTTATGTAACGTTAGCTTGGTCTCCTCATTAATCTTAGGCCCAATCCCATTTCTTATTTTTACCCCTGCCTGTTGTTTTCGAGTATCGTCTTGCCCCTTGGAACTGAGTTACAACGTGTAGTGGTTGAAATCTTCCCCTACAAAATGGGACCCTCAAATAAAAAGAGCATTACTACATTAACAGCTACTAGTGCTGCTCTGTAGGCGACCCTGCCAGTCTGCAGTGATAGCAGATAATTATTTATTATCGCCCACCCCAAATTCTAGTTCGAATTTTCCCGTTCCACCTTAAATGGTTCTGACAGTTCTGACGCCTGAGGCACCAGAATGTAACTGCTGCACCATTTAAGGTGGAACAGGAAATTTATCTAGCTAGATATTGAGACATCAACATACTACTAGCGTTTTTTTGTTTTTTTTTATGCTTGTTATGAAGAAAATGACCGTAATACACTGAAACGACATTAAACTAAGATAATACAATAATTATTGTAATTTTTTAATGGAGAAAATACTCCGATTTTTGGGTTTCTTTGGTCGCTTGTGTCTCTGAAAACCTCCGTTTGGAGGACCGTGTAGCCCTAACACTTCACCCTGCCCCTCTATCTCAACAAGAATCGGGACACCGAGTAGTAGGGCTAAGTGGTAGGGGCGAGGGGTGAAATGGGATTGGGCCATAGTCTTAAGAGAGAAAGTTGGGGCACCGCTGTTTTCTTTACCTTTGCACTGAAGCTATGAGGCTAATGTAGCTAACAAGCTTACAGCCATCAGCTTAGCAAGCTGCATGCCTCAAACCATGTTGGGTTGCTCAGTAATCTCCAATAGTGTGTTCCTAAACCCAGTCCTCAGGGCCTCCCAGACAGACCAGGTTGGACATCACTGCTCTAATAGACCTGCATATTGTATGACATACTGTTATCCGTAAACATGGACAAGTAAAAACAGTAGTAGTGTGTGTGTGTGTGTGTGTGTGTGTGTGTGTGTGTGTGTATATGTTTATGTATCTGTGTGTATGTATGTATATATATGTGTGTGTGTGTGTGTGTGTGTGTGTGTGTGTGTGTGTGTGTATATATATATATATATATATATATATATATATATATATATATATATATATATATATATATATATATATATATATATATATACAGAATAACGTATAACTGTTGTTGTTGGAAGAGAACCTTGTATCTCCAAAATGGTAACTTTAAAGGAGAAGGTAAAAACATACTTTACTTTTAATGTAAGTCAATGGAACCAGATTTTTTTTTTTTTCCCCCAAGTCACTTTGGGGCATTTATTTTGGTCCATTCTTCATGAAATTTACACACAATGTAAAGAGCAACAGCTATTTTTCAATTATATCAAAAAATGAAAAATGACAAAACTGGAGATACGAGGTTTTCTTCTGACAGCAGCGATTTATATTTACACATTCGTAGATTATCATACAGTGTCAAACCACATAAGCAGGTATATTAGTGGTTACTTAGCAACTCAGCACAGTTTCAGGCAAATGTGTGATGTTTCAGACATGCAGTTAGCACAGTGATAATCAAGGATGTGAATAGGTCTCCAGTTTTGGGCCAGACTGTCCGATTTTGAGCTCAGTTGTCTGATGTCCGGCTGGTACTTCCTCTCTACATGCATTCCATCTCTTGAAGGAGGTAAAGAGCCATTACAGTCCTGCCATTATATCTGTCTCACTCTCGCTCTCACTGTGTCTCTAATTCTCCATCTCTCTCACTTTTTTATTTGCTAAGTGGTTGCGTTCTCCGGCTGCGTCTCAAACCTCATACTGTATTCAATAGAACGTCAAATTAGTACCCAGTCAGTGACGCCATTGCTATTTTACTATTAGTACATATGATTTATTACAGGCATTTTCAGATTGAGATCTTTATTGTGCTTTTGTGCTCACAGTGGTGGAACAAATAGTACACTGGAAATGAAATGTATTATTATTGTTTATTTTCTATGAAAAAAAATTCAAATGCAAATAAAATAAACCAGTCATCAAACTGTTTTAAAACACATTTAAAAGTGCTTTTAAACTCTCAAATGTGCATATTTTACAGTGTCATTCAAAATTAACAGTTTTACAGTCAAAATTTGCATCCACAGAGCCAATTGGTGCAGTACAAGTGACTTGTTAGCTACATTAGCCTCATGGTTCCAATGCAAAACTAAAGAAACAAACTTCAGATATTACATATGTCTTTGCTGATCAACTACATTTGCAATAAGAGGAGAACTGGCTGAACCATTTTTGCTTTAAAGTGACTTTCAGCCTTTTGCCTTGCTAGTTCGTGTTATTGTAGGCTGCTGTGTGGCCTGTCTCGGCTGATCTGCTTGCCCGTGACCTGGATTTGTCTGGGCTGGTTGGGAGCGCTGAGCTTGGCACATCCCTCCATTATTTTCACAGACCCTGCAGAGAACGGTGAATGATGGTGTCAAAGCCTCTGTCTGCGCTCCATTTGTAATATCTCTCAGCCTGATGGGAACTGGCCGAAAGTCACCTCATTGGAAGAGTCATTCATTTTCTGTTTTTGTCAGTAATCAAATAGTAAGACATTCATTAAATGAGTATTTGAGTAAGCGAACTTCATTTTAGTGCACCCAATAAAAGACCAATCCTTGAAGATGAGGATGATGATAAAAGTCAGAAGATTTTTTTTAGAGAAAAATACAAAATAACGACAGTAATAGCACTGAAAGCGAACCATGTTGCCTCTGTTTGATCGTTCTTGTGTGCTATTAATTAAAAGCCGACATTCGAACAGCTTGCCTCACACACATCCTGTTATGGCCAGATTTAGGCTTCATGCCCTGGTTGTTAAACGCATTTGTGTTGCAGGGTGAGGACCATGGTGATGTTCGTTTTGAGCGTGTTAATGATTTTAATCTGCTCTTTTAATAGCTTTAAATGAGATTTTAATAGCTGTAAATCTCATGGTCTGTGTCTTCTCTGAAATGATGTTACGCCACATAATCAGATTTGTTTTCTGTTTGACTATTTTAGAATGTCATCCCGGCCGAGGTGTCCTTGGTGTGTGTGGTGAAACCAGATGAATTCTGGGACAAGAAGGTCACCCATTTCTGCTTCTGGAAGGAGAAGGACAGGCTTGGCTTTGAGGTGAGTGCTGCAGGCTTTTAACTCGATCTTTCTGCGCACACGAACAACTTTATTTCAGAGGAGAAGAATGTAGCTGGAGGCTGTTTGCTGTAAAAATGGATGTGATGTGCAGTAGAGATGGGACAGTTTTTCTATCATGATGTCAGCAACCAATAAATTTTTATTTATTTATTTATTAATTTATTTATTCTTTTATTATTTTATTTTATTTTTTATTCTTTTTTTTAAAAACCCACACATATATTATAGTCATTGCTGTGATTTCACCACAAGTATTAGAATAACATCCTTATACACTCTCAGAAATTAAGATAGTAAACTGTCACTGGGGCAGTACCACTCTTGTCACTGGGGTGGGACCCTCAAGGGTACATCTCAGTACCTTTAGTCAGGGAACATAACTGAACCATAATCCACTGAAATGATATGTTCTAAGCTGTACTGACTCCACACACCCCGTCTCGTCTCCAGGCTTTTATTTTACTGCTCTGTTTAAAACATTCGGTTATGAAAAGGTACAAATATGACCTTTTCACCTGGAAACACTTATTTAAGGTTCACAATCAGACCTTAAAACCACTGTTGTACCTTTGAGGGAACATTTACATTGTTTGTACCTTGAACGAAAAATATACCTGCACTGAACCTTTATTTACAACAGTGTAGAACATCTCATGCTTCTTTAGTGCCAACAAATCAGCTGCAGTTCAAATCAACAAAATGATCCCCGGCGCTGCTAATGTTTACTGTTCAGGTTAAGCAGTGTGAAGAGTTGTCCTTGTATAAACCCAGTTCCAAAACAGTTGTGACAGTAGGTAAAATGCAAATACAAACAGAGAGCAGTGATTTATAAACACTGTGACCTTTATTTGAACAAAACCAGTGCAAAAGAAGTTATGTAATGCATTATCAATTTCATTGTTGTTTTTTTCTTTTTTTCTTGGAAAAATACACTCATTCTGTAATTTATGCCTGCAAAATGTTCCAAAACAAGTAGATGTTACAATTTAATACCAGGAACATTGTGAAATGTTTAAAAAACCTCTTAAACAGATGATGCAATAATGATTGGGTATAAAAGGTGCATCCAAGACTCCTTTATGAGCAAAGATGGGTCGAGGCTTGCCACTTTGCCAAAAATGCATCAGCAAAATGATGCATTAAAAAGAAAGTTTTAAAATAACACACTTCAGCCTGGGATTGCATGCTTTTGAGGTGTTTCACCCTCTATGTTGTATAACATCAAAAGATTCAGGGAATCCAGAGAAATTGTAATCCAGAGAAACATAAAAGACAAGGCTGCAAACCATATCTGAATGTCTGTGACCTTTAACCCCTCAGACGGCACTGCAGAAAAGCCATTATGTTTCTGTGATGGATTTCGCCACATAGGCTCAGGAATACTTTGACAATCCTTTGTCAAACATTGTTAATCACTGCATCCACAAATGCAAGTTAAGACTGTACTATGCACAGCAGAAGTCATGTCAACCAGAAACACCGCCGACTTCTCTGGGGTGAGCTCATCTGAAATGGACTGATGCTCAGTGGAAACTTGTTTTGTGGTCTGACAAGTTAGTCTTTCAGATTGTTTATGGAAATAATGGACGTCGTGTTCACTGGGTCAAAGAGGAGAAAGACTATCCATATTATTACCAGTGTAAAGTTCAAAATGCAGTGTCTGTCATGGTGTTTTGAGGGGGTCTTGGTGGCTAACGTACATGTCTGTGGAAGCACCTTTAACGCTGAACACATTTTGGATTGAGGCATGCTGCCTTCTGTATATCATCTTTTTCAAGCACTGTGCTCGTCTATGTTTACTTCAGCATGACAACAGCGTGGCTGTGTAATCAGAGAGTGTGGGTGCTAGAATGGCCTGCCTGCAGTCCAGACCTGTCTCTTAATGAAAAAGTGTGACTTATTGAGCTCTAATTATGATGGCAAAGGCCCTGTACGGTTGTACAGCTGTGAACTTGTGTAACAGAAGAGTGGTTAAAAAGTTCTGCTTTCAAAACTGCATTAGTTTGTGTTCTGAGTCCCCAAACATTTAATAAGTGCTGCTGAGATTAAGTGATAGTGAACATGCTGTTGTTTTTTGGGACCAGTGTTGCTGCCATTAAATTTGGATTGAGCACATATTTACAAGACACAATAAAGTTCTGTGTGTGTAGTGTGTTTTTGTAAGGTTTTCAATTTAATACAAGTCAAACAGAATTTACTCATCACTGCTTCTTGTTTTTATTAGCATTTTACATTTCGTCCCAACCTTTTGTGGAGTTGGGGTTGTGTATGGTGTGTGTGGTGGAGACTGTAACAGTTTATCTGCTTCAACTGTGAATTTTTATAAAGACAGTAACTGTACAGATCTATCTGAATGAATAAAATTAAAAATGGTGTGATTTATTCTTAATTATATATGGATCATTCTACTAGTTCAAAGTCAGACTATTACTGACCTTAAACTAAAATCATTTTGCTTTGAGGAACCCTTTACCATAATTGTTTATTTCATTAAACCAAACAAGTTAACATTTCATTTCGTCACTACCGATCATAACGATCATAACACTGTTGAAACTTTGCCAAATGTTTCAGTAGTGACCGTTTCGGTAGTGACAATTCTAGCTCATTTTGAGCAGAACTCAAAAACGCTAGCCAGTATATGACTAGCAAACACAGCTTTGAAAATTTTTTAGACACATGAAATCATAATGTTTTTATTAAAACACAAAGTTTTACACAATGTGTTTCGGTAGTGACGATTCTTAATGTTCCACACTGATTTTAATACTTTGGGACACATTTACTTCAATCTAATCTAACTGCTCACCATGTGGCCATGAGGGAGAGGGAGGCAGTTTCTCTTGCCGTCCTTTATGTATATTTACTTATATTTAAGACAAAGAAATCTATATAAGACATAAATAAATAAATAAATATATATATATATATATATATATATATATATATATATATCTCGTGCGTGCGTACATGCGTACGTATATATTCGTCTTGCCATATCTCAGCTGTGCGTTTCAGATGTGAAGAGGTCACACTGAAAAAATCCACTATGTAAAAATCCATTATGAAACATAGGCTTGTAAGTCTAGTTATAATGAGGTTATGTTCCCATCACCAGAACACTGTGTATAACAAATAGATTGCAGCCAGGCATTTGCTATTCCCTCTGATGATGAATTCTACAGCTGCATTAATATTCAACACGTCTTTATAGAGTATAGCAGTACATGGAGCTGTACAATATGAAAGACTGCTGCAGGTAGTGTCAGCACCACTCCAGGGGTGTTTGCTTTATAAGAAGGCAATTTCCTCCATTGATTAGGTGTAATGAACCTGTACATAATGAAACCGTACATCTACACACTCTGGGCTCCATCATTTCCCATTTGCCTTTCATAAACACACTGTGCAGTAGCCTGTAGTTATAATAATTTCAAGTACCATTTAAAAGCTTTATTCTCACCAGGTAGGAGAACCAAGGTCTTGCGTTTGTGTCCGTGTGCTGTGGTGATCTGTTTGGGTTTGATTTGGCCCAATTGGATTGTGTGTTATGAAAAATGTCAGAACTTTCAGTACCGTAATGCTTTTCTCTTCCTCTATGTGCCATCTTCTGTAAATAGTTTATGGTTCTTTAGCATTAAATAGAGGTACTGTCCTAAGAAAAGGTGGTTCTTCAAGGGTTCTTTAGTTTATAGAGAACCATGAACACTCAGAGAACCTTTTACATGATTATAGGGTTCTTTGCATCATGAAATGATTCTTCAGGCTGATTTCAACATTTCAAAGTTTTATTTGTTGGACAATGTTTTTGTGTATGTGGCTCTATATAGAACCTTTTTAGCCCCAAAAGGGTTCTGCTAATGTGACAGTGTCAAGCTTGTTACAATAGAAGAACCTTTTTTTGGTGCTATATGGAACCCTTTTCAAAAAGGTCCATTTACAGCACTCCATCAGTAACCATCTACAGATTCTCCATCAATCTGAAGAACCCTTTCATGATGCAAAGAACCCTTTAATCATGCAAAGAGTTCTTTGAGTGTTCATGGTTCTATGTAGAACCATTTTCCTTACTAAAGAACCCTTGAACTATCTTTTTTGAGTGCGTAGGTTGTCAGATTTGTCATGTGGGTCTATCATAGGTTGTTGTATGACTCATATGACTTATCATTGGCTACCGGGCTCTGCAGTATATCGTGTGTTAGTCATTATGGCAGCGTTGGCCTTTGCAGTGCTGATTAGAACACAGAAGGCTGTAGTTTGAAACTGAGCTCGAACTTACAAACCTTTGACATAATACAGCCCTGTCTTTCACTCATGTTGCATCAGTGTTTGGCTGATGTGTTTTTGATAGAGCCATTTGGTGATAGTATCAGCTGAAACATACCAGTGATTTACAGACCCAATTCCAGCAGCAATATTCAACCATGTGATCGCCTGATTTTAGGAGAAAACCAATATTACAGCTGTTAAAATTACAATGTGTGAAATTCATCCAAACTAGGCACAATATGGACATGTCGTTAATGTTGATGGATATGTTTCGAAAGAAAATTAAGAAATACTAAATTAGAGGTTAAATATAGTTTGTTTTGTGTTGGCTACCTAGCTAAATGTAATAAGGCTGGGCCTACACTACTCGATTTTAAATTATTATTTTTTTTTAACCCCGATTTGCCCCTTGGAACAAATTTTCACAATCTGAAGCGGTTTTCGGAAGTGACTGACTGTGCAGATGATCTGGTAGTGTGAGAAGAGCAACTTTAGCCCTCCAATCGAACTGTGAAATGATCTGAGACCCTCTGACATTATATATATATATATATATATATATATATATATATATATATATATATATATATATATATATATATATATATATATATATATATATACACACATACAAGACATACATCTTTTTACAATTTCAGCTCAGCTGCCAGTTTGTAGTGAAATATTTCTCCTCATCTCACTGTGATATC